AGATTTTAAGGTTTTTCAAAGGTTTTACAAGATATTTTAAAGGTTTTAAAAGGTATTTAAAATACATTTATAAAGTATTTATAAGATTTTAGATACATACAAATGTAGTTTGTGTATGTTTTAATAATGTTACATACATATTTGGGTAAATCTTATATTTTTAAGAGCATTTTTTATAAGGTTTTAAAGAAGGGGCATTTTTGCAAAAACCCCTTTTTAATATTATTATTTTATAAAGTATTTATAAGATTTTAGATACATAGAAATGTAGTTTGTGTATGTTTTAATAATATTACATACATATTTGGGTAAGTCTTATATTTTAAAAGCATTTTTTATAATGTTTTAAAAAAATAGTATTTTTGAAAAATGGCATTGAAAAAGTGGTATTTTTGCAAAAACCCCTAATTTTAGTGAAATTAAAATTTTATTTAAAATTTAGTGAAATTAACATGTTTTAGTTAAAAGTAATAATTTTTAAATTTTTAAGTGTTAAATTTATTTAAATTTTAGTTAAATTAAAAGAATTTAAGTGCAAATCATTATTATTATTTTTAAAGTTAGTTTAAATTTTTAATTTTAGGTGTTGAAAATAGTTGGTTGTTTAAAATTTTTAGTGAAATTAAAACTTTCTTTAAAATTTAGTGAAATTAAAGTGTTTTAGTTAAAAGTAATAATTTTTAAATGTTTAAGTGTTAAAATTTATTTAAATTTATTTAAATTTTAGTTAAATTAAAAGAATTTAAGTGGAAATCATTATTGTTATTTTTAAAAATTACTTTAAGTTTTTAATTTTAGGTTTTTATTATAGTTTGGTATTTAATATTTTTAGTGAAATTTAAATTTCATTTAAAATTTAGAGAAATTAACATGTTTTAGTTAAAAATATTAATTTTTAAATGTTTAAGTGTTAAATTTATTTAAATTTTACTTAAATTAAAAGAATTTAAGTGGAAATCATTATTATAATTTTTAAAATCAGTTTAAGTTTTTAATATATGTTTTGAAAATAGTTTGTTAATAAATTTTTAATTCAAATTTAGTGAAATTAACATGTTTTAGTTAAAAGTAATAATTTTTAAATGTTTAAGTGTTAAATTTATTTAAATTTTAGTTAAATTTAGGGGTGTCAAAATGGATTGAAATTAATAGATCAATCCAAACCAATCCAATCCATGGATCTAATGAATTGGAAATTTGGATCTTAATGGATTAATGGATTAAATGGATTAGTGAGTTTAATGAATTGGATGAAATGG